AAATGTTGAATTTTGTCCCTACTAAAATAAAAGGATGGAAGAGTTTTGCTTTTTATTTTTGTCTTTCTGTCTTTGTCTTTTTTGGGGGGTAAAAAAGTATGCGTATTCCTTCAACATGAACGTTTTATTTGCTCGTGTGTGTGTGCTCTAGAGGTAAAGCAAAAAGATGTGTTGCTTTGTTGTCTTTGTGATACTCGTGTTTAGCTACATATTTCACATTTGGTATTTTCGCATAATGTGTACCCTTTGTGACAACTCTAAAGTGATATGTTGCAGATGGGTGGGTAACCCCAGTCGAGTCGGCAGAGAGCTCAACTAGCTATCAAAAAACTTAGCTAGGACAACCTGAGTTTCGTGTCGATGGCATCACTTCGATGAGGGTTGGTTGTTCATGATACCGTTCATGAGTTACAAATGAAAAACTTAATGAGACAGTTGCACAGTGGAGGAACTCTTTCCCTTAGCGTACAAAGAGACGATTAAACTGTAGTCGCAATTTGTGCAAAGCAAGTACTCTACTATAACAATAGCTTATAAGAATTCGTCCTATACCCATCTGTACTTATGAGTTGTTATCGGTCAGTGCATCAGGCCGGTCGTCGTAAAAAAGGCGACGCTGAATTCAAATTATTGTTCTATAAACTATAATATTGATCTATATCGTATAACTGACGTCAGGGAAAGACCCGTTGTGAAATGTTGTCCTTTATACCGTTTAGATTCTTTGGTGAAACACTTACCCCCCTCAAGTCATAATCACGGAAATTGGGATACCGTACTGAAAACATAAAATCCTTCCTTTGTTACAAACGTGTACCACAAACAATCCTCGAATTCCCACCAGACTATAATATCAGTAATATGTTACACTGGCGGTGGGCTGTGGGGAGTTGTCTGCCAAACCAACCAACGGAGTCCCGTTGTTACATGTCTCCTCCTCTTAACTTTGCTGGTTCCTAAAGATGTTAGAGTATCTTGGTTGAGTACAACGTTCCAAAAGAAAAACACAACACACGACAGCACCACACACACACGACACACACCACACACACACACCACACACCACACACACACACAACACACACGACACACACACCAACCAACACACACACGACACACACACACACAACAACCAGACACACACCACACCTACACACACCAACCCCACACGCACGCACGGCACGGCACGCACGCACGCACGCACGGCAACGCACGCAACGCACACGCACGCGACCGACAAAATGTAGTCGCAATGCTTTGTGGAAAGAAGGACTCTGACTAAAACAACCTTGTATCATAAAATTCTCCCGACCATCTGTACTATAGTCGGTCGTCGTAAAAATGTGGACCCTTTCAGAAATCTCTGACCGGACCTATCGACCAGTGTTTATTGGAAGTGTTTCACTGTGTGACAGTACCAACGGGAGAATACTACGACGACAGAAATTTATATATTGATAAGGGAGACGGTCATCAAGCATGGGAGGTGTCTAAGAAGTCAGAGTAAGGTGGCTCCGAGTAGGAAAGGTAGACGTTGTGGAGGTCGTGTAGAAGTCACAGACTGAGGTATACTTATAACACGGACTACGTTCCCACTACGGGGTACTTAGTGTTTTACAACCGGCTTCCTGCGCAGTATAATAAGCAGACAAGTAGATTACAATAGTAGTGGGCGTTAATTCGTTGTCTCTAATACGAAGTGGAAAAAGAGAAAGAGAATTGACTTCATCATGGACAGAAAATTCATAGTTATGTTACATTTCACGGAACACAAGGACGGGTGGTACAAAATTGGGCGCTCGGAATTTTTTTGTCGTTAAAAATGACATACTCGCAAACGCTCTTTACGTGTTAGTTTACCGGGTCTTAATTTTGAAATATTTTGCGATACTTAGTACACCACGACTCTCTTTATCTCGTGACGATTCGGGCCGGTCCTATATAACGGAAATGAACCTCGGGAAAGAAAAAACGTTATACGAATATTATTGTTACAGTGATCATGTGATAACTTAATATATAGATGGGGATACGAACTCTAGCTTATTTTCGTTGGTATTTTTGGCGGAAATGATCCTCTGCGGCTCAACTTCCGGTACTTCGTTTACATGAGGAAGGTGTTTAGAAAATATGAGGACCGACATAAGTTATTGTCGGGATGTTGCACAAAAGCTTCAATCCGTGATAGACACGTCTTGATAATGTTTATAAGAATTAGGAACGTTCATAAAATAAAATTTTCACAAGTACTTTTGACGTAGTTTATAACGATATGAGATATATTCGCAAGTGTATGTATTATAAAATAACTTGAAATTAGTTTCAGTTAAATTTATTCGCGTCGGTTCTGATAAGGGTTCCCCTCTTTCTTTTACCGACCGACGGGCTGAGTTGACTGATCGTCGATAACCGACTATAGCCAGTGGTAAGAGCCAATTTTATGGACTCTCGGTATTATGAGTCTCTATTGAGCTAGCTTTTTCCACAAAATCTGCGACTAGTGTTTTAATGCGTCTCTTTGTACGTATAACAGTGAGTCCTCCGCCTAGTAACTGTGCTCCTAATGAGTTTTTCATCGTGTCATTGCATGGAAGTATCATGAACACCCTCAGTCAAAGTGAGTTCGGATGACCTCAGGTGTCCTACCTAGAGTGCTTCTTGATAACCGGTCGTTTATTTAAGTTTTTTATTGCAGCTATCTTGGGCGACTCACTGCGCGTCACCCGTCTTATCGACATTATCCCTCTCTAGAGATTCGTTTACAACACGGTAAACATCTTAATCCCGGCATAAATACTGAAATCGTCGGGAATATATTTGGTAAGTAAAGACCGGAGGTGTTTACACAGAACCGACAAAAAGCAACACTTTTGTTTTACCTGGAATCTATGTGCCTAAAACTCGCAGGAGATAGACGCGAGGGAATAAAACTTTCTGTTGAGGCCATCCGTCTTTATTTTTAAAAACCTTATTTTTGCCCCCAAAAAAAACAAAGACAAAAAGATTCACTTACAAATTTAAAAAACAAAACTCTTCATCTTTTTACTTTTAGGTAGGCAAAAAATTCAAATCACTTTAGGTAAAAACTGGGGTACTATTTCTCTTTTCCNAATATACAATTTCCTCTCCCAAGTGGGAGGATGATTATTTTTGTATCTATTCCAATTCAAAGTCCATCTGTCTCTCATCTGCAATGCGAGCGTGGCTTTATCGATAAAGCCACGCTCGCATTGCAGATGAGAGACAGATGGACTTTGAATTGGAATAGATACAAAAATAATCATCCTCCCACTTGGGAGAGGAAATTGTATATTTTGGGCTTTTTTCCTTCTGCCATAATTGTGGTCTTGTGTGTGTGCGGACTGTCACTCCTGTTGACACGGACAACGTCAGCTAACTAGTGCCCACTGCCCACCAGCCACGCCCCGACACATGGGGTCACGCCGGCCAATCACAAAGCGTTGATGCGTTCAAGTGCATTATTATGGCACAGGAAGATTATGTTATACAGGGTATATGCAGGAATCCTGAGGTCAAATTTAATACCTTTTATAAGACCCTTTCCATACATTTTAAGACCTCATCGCAACTTTGAGTTCTAACCGGTTACATTGGCAACACACTTTACCTCACATTTACTATATTTATTGTAAGATAGCACAACTAAACAGAGTGCAGACAGACTACTGAAGCCTCCTTTCCACATGAACTTCAACCTCTCTGCGAAGGTCNTACATTTATTCCGAAATGGGATTTGATATGTGGCGCGATTGGCTTGGTAATTTTTAACCCAGTTGACTCCAGAATGTTGCGAATTTTAGGGGGGTCGTGCAAATTATACAACTTTGTCAGCATCTAAAGGCCTAAAAACAGGGAAGGATGTTGACGTAAAAATAATAATAATAATAATAATGCCGCACCAATTAACAATAGGTTTCCTCGGCACTTCGGTGCTAGGACGCCGTCGGGTCTGCACATCGTGCTCGGGCCCTAATAATAATATTCCCACATGGACAATAGGTTTCCTCGCCTTCGTGCTCGGACGCCGTCGGGGTCTAGCACATCCCGTTGCTCGGGCTCCTAATAATAATATAATTCCACCAATAATAATTTCCTTCCCTGTCGTGCTAGGGACGCCGTCTGGGTCCTAGCGCTCGGTGCTCGGGCCCTAATAATAATTCCACCAATAACCAATGTTTCCTCCTTCTGCTATAGCGGCCGTCGGTCCTACCACCCGGGCTCGGGCCCTAATAATTCCACCAATAACCCAATAGGGGTTTCCGCTCGCACTTCGTGCTCGACGGCCGTCGGGTCCTATGCACAGATCGTGCTCGGGCCCTAATAATAATCTCCACCAATAACATAGGTTTCCTCGCCACTTCGTGCTAAACGCGTCGGGTCCTGCACATCGTGCTCGGCCTAATAATATTCCACCATAACGATAGGTTTCCTCGCACTTTCGTGCTTAGGACGGCCGTCGGGTCCTAGCACATCGTGCTCGGGCCCTAATAATAATAATTCCACCAATAACAATAGGTTTCCTCGCACTTCGTGCTAGGACGCCGTCGGGTCCTAGCACATCGTGCTCGGGCCCTAATAAGAAAAAGAATAATACCACCAATAACAATAGGTTCCTCGCACTTCGTGCTAGGACGCCGTCGGGTCCTAGCGCTCCGTTTTCGGGCCCTAATAAGAAGAATTTGTGCAATAACAATAGGTTCCTCGCACTTCGTGCTAGGACAGCGTTGGGGTCCTAGCACTCCATGCTCGGGCCCTAAATATGCCTTATATAGGTATGGTCCTACACTATATTATTCAAATATAGCATGATAGGTGAGTGAGTAAAATACTTTTCTGCTACATAGGTAAAAAGAGGGATTCACTGAGTTGAGGTTATAAGGGGGTCCCAACAGTGGGACCCCTCTAGCATAGGAAGCGCTGCTCTCCTCACTGCCAGTGAACTGGTTGGTGTGAATCTAAGCTGCAGTGTGTCTCCTCAGGCCCCCCCTGCCCGCTGCTGCCTCTGCCTGGCAGCAGCAGGTACAAGATGAGCTCGGTGGATGTCCCAGACATGGTGTCCTACCCTCTGCCACAGTCCTCCTCCTCCTACTCTGGACACACCCCCAGCTCTGTTGCCATGGTAAGCGGCCTCCATTCATCCAAGATGAACTGCACCCGCATCTTCAACCTCTTCTGCCTCTACGGAAACATCGAGAAGGTGGGTGTGTTTGTACTCTCAAAGTTATTTTTAATAATGATGCAATTTAACAGTTTCAGTTAAGAGAGAGTGTGTGTGTGTGTGTGTGTGTGTGTGTGTGTGTGTGTGTGTGTGTGTGTGTGTGTGTTTGTGTGTGTGTGTGAATGCTGGTGTGTGCGTGCGTCTGTGCTTGTAGGTGAAGTTCATGAAGAGTGTTCCTGGCACAGCGTTGGTGGAGATGGGAGATGAGTATGCTGTGGACAGAGCCATCACACACCTCAACTCCATCAAGGTGTTTGGCAAGAGACTCAATGTCTGGTAGGAAGGAGGTCAACACTCACACACAATATTTTAATACATCCTAAATGTTTCATATCTGCGTAAATCAGAGTTAGACCACCTAACCCTAATGCAACACGATGTGTGTGTGTGTGTGTGTGTGTGTGTGTGTGTGTGTGTGTGTGTGTGTGTGTGTGTGTGTGTGTGTGTGTGTGTGTGTGTGTGTGTGTGTGTGTGTGTGTGTGTGTGTGTAGTGTGTCTAAGCAGCACGCAGTGATCCCCAGTCAGGTGTTTGAGTTGGAGGACGGCAGCAGCAGCTACAAGGACTTTGCCATGACCAGGAATAACCGCTTCAGCAGCGCGGGGCAGGCGTCCAAAAACATCATCCAGCCTCCGTCTGCAGTGCTGCACTACTACAACGTCCCTCCATGCATATCGCAGGACCACCTACTGAGGGTATGCTGCTCCACTCTTCTATCCAGTGAAAGTAGTTAACCTCTGACATGCCTGTCAGTCTCTGTGTCTCTGTCCCTCTACTACACTTCAACAGCTCTTACTTTACCAGTTTTGTATTCTTCATATTCTGGGCCAGGCCTGGATTCTTCACATCTCCCAAACTAAACTATGCCTATCATTCAAATGTATTGAAGTGTCCCCAAATAGAATAACACAATTATGCATTAGTTTTACAATAAAGCTGTTACAGAAAGGCCATATGTATATTAAAAATACAAATGCAATATTTATGTCAATGTATGACCAATGCCCAAAATATATAAATAACAAATATGTACATATAAATCAGATATATTATATGTACAGTGGGGCAAAAAAGTATTTAGTCAGCCACCAATTGTGCAAGTTCTCCCACTTAAAAAGATGAGAGAGGCCTGTCCCGAATGTTGGAACCGTTAAACAGGAGGCAGATCTTGAGGCTGCGAGATGGGATGTGGTGATGGAGGATGACTTGAATCAAAGCGAAGCAACCAATAGCGCGGTGAAGCGAAAGGTAAGAAGTCGAGAGCTGAGTGTGACTTATGGTAAGAGGGCGACGTTAACTACGCGGAGGGCAGTAGTACAACTTTATTGCTTCGGAAGAAGGGCCCCACCAATCATACACGTCGTATCTTGTTAGGGAGGAATTGGGTAGTAGTAGACTACAGAAGGTAGACTCTTTAGTGAGGAGAATGCTCTCTAAAATGGGTCTGATACTGTATGGGTGTGTGGGGAATGAGGTGGTGTAATTGTGTTGTTCGGGGAGGTGGAAATAGCCGTCCGAAAGATTGTCATGATTCCTGGGGAATGGTAGTCAATGTCTCAGACGATAATAGATCTCGGTCCTAGTTTTGTCTTTTAACAATAGAGATTTAGTGAAGTCTGGAGGAACGGAGGTGTCCCACGGGTATTATCACCATTTATTTACACACACGGTCTATCTCGTAGAAGACCACACCGTAGATCGTGATGTTTGACTCTGTAGTGTGTAATCGTAATATAAATATCGTGTGTGCGGAGATAAAATGGTAGATCCCGACTCTCTTGTGGCTGAGGGCGTGGATATAAACGCGATAATAAGTGCATTAGCGCCTTTCTGTCGACGCGAAAGAAGATAAACTGCCGTAGGTGTGCATATATGTATAAAGAGATTGTCAGATAGACGTCTGCTGCGTACGTTCGCTGGTCTCGGTGTGTACTTTTTGTTAACTCGTCGTTGTTTGTTCAGCTCTACTTCTTATTTTACTTTAACATGTTAGTATTATAACACACAAGTAGAATATTAAGTCAGATCTCTTACGTGGTCTCGTCGTTAGATGTCATTCTGGACCTTTTTAGATTTTACAAGATCCCCTCCGGGGGTTTGGGAAGAGCACGGTAAAACAGGCGCGCGTAAATGTTCCCGTGTAGAGTATAACCCCGAGTCCCGGTAGAAATTTAATCGAATCTACCGTGTCCACAGAAAATATGACTATGTTCGTGTTCCACGGTAATTAGTTTCAATTGTTCACCTCCCCTGTCTCCTCTCCGAGAATTTCTTCTTCAATGTCAGACACTCTCGGTATTTAGAACCAAACAGACATCCACTGGTTTATGAATGAAAACGGTCCGGTATTAAAACGTTTTAATTTAATAAATTTTAGTCTTGTTACACTAAAAAGACCTAAAAAAGAGAGTAAAAACAGAGAGTATCAACTCCATATGCGAT